CCCGCCCAAGGTCCCAGAGCCCCCAAAGATAAAGGAGCCACTGTCAGGTGAGTCGGGAGTCCTGGCCCAGACCTGGGAATATCACAGCGTCTCCACCCGTGACTCCATCTCCATTCACATCTCCAGCTTCCATCTGCCCGCCTCCACGGATATGCCCAGCCCATCCCCGATGCGGTCCTAATCTCCATCACCAAGCTCCAGCTTCAGCCCCGTCTCCACCCCCAGCCCAATCTGTCCCTCTCTCCGTCTGCCTTCAACCTCGTCCCCTTGTCCAACAACAACCAAATGACCAACTTCGGTCTCATCTCCTCCAATCCCCTCCCTGTCCCCAGTTTCAACACTCTCTCCGTTACTATCCCCAAATTCAACCTCAATCCCGTCTCCTTTCAAAGCTGCCTCTTCCAGCTTCTGGTGCTTTGCTGGCAATCTTTGGCGTCCCTTGCCTTGTAACTGCATCCCTCCCACCTTCCGTCCACACATGGCCTTCTCTCTGTCTTCACATCATCATCTCCTCTGTGCATGTCTATCTTGGTGTCCAAGTTTCCCTTCTTATAAGGACACCAGTCATAATGGATCAGGGCCCACCCTATGAGCTCATTTTAACTTGCTTACCTCTGTAAGTTACCTATTTCCAAATAAGATCCCATTCTGAGGTACTGGGGGTTAGGACTTCACATATCTCTTCTTCTTGGGGGGGGGGACAAACACAGTTCCACTCATAACACCACCCCTGTTGTATCCTCAACCCCAATACTACCCCAAACCCCAATGTCTTCCTCAATGCCTTTTTGATTTCCAGCCATACTTATTCCAACCCCATCAGCCATCGGCACCTGAGGCACATCCGCATGCTTATTCCCAATCCATCCCTTTCGCCAAATGCCATCTTTTTTTTTTTTTTTTTTTTGCGGTACGCGGGCCTCTCACTGTTGTGGCCTCTCCCGTTGCGGGGCACAGGCTCCGGACGCGCAGGCTCAGCGGCCATGGCTCACGGGCCCAGCCGCTCCGCGGCATGTGGGATCTTCCCGGACCGGGGCACGAACCCGCGTCCCCCGCATCGGCAGGCGGACTCTCAACCACCGCGCCACCAGGGAGGCCCCAAATGCCATCTTTAACCTCATTGCTATGCCCAACACCATGACAACCGCCAAGTGATCCAGTCCCACGCCATAGCTCATCCCTCTGCCCTCATCCCGTCCTCAATCCCGTCCCTGTGTGCAGCTCCAACCCTTTCCCCTCTTCAGTCCCACCCCCACCCTGCAACCCTCAGCGCCCCCCTCAACCCCATTCACCTCCCCACCTTCCTCATTCAGTCCTAGTCGCACTCCCAGCCCCCATTTTCAACCTTAACCTCAAACTCAACCTCTTAACCCCATCTCCACACCCGTACCGAGTCTCAATCCTAACGCCCCCATTTCCAACCACCAACTTCAACTGTCCACATTCCTCCCAACCCCAACTCACGTCCAAACTTCTTCAGACTCGCCTCCAGCTCTACCTTCTTTCCATCCTCAACTTTCACCTAAACTCATCTCCAAGCCCATGCCGAGCCCAAACTCCAGACAACATTCTCAATTCCTTTCCCATCTCCCCCTTCCGACTTCAGCCCCAACCTCACCCTAACCCTAAACTCCCTCATCCCAGCCTCCACCTTCATCCCCATCCGCTTCTCCAGCCCCAGCCCTGCCCAGTCCCCGCCCTCCTCCAACCCTGTCCCCCACCCTGCCTCTATCCCCCCACCCCCATCCCCACTCCTGCCCTCCCCCCACGGACAGCCCTCGCTGCCCCATCACTGGAGAGCCCTTCCTTCAACCTGATGCCTGATGCCCTGCACATCCTGCGCTAGAAGCTATTTCAGCCCCTGCTCCCTAGGGACTGGGAGGGCACCACAGGGAGGTGAGAAGGGAGTGACTCAAGCCCCCACCTTCTGGAAACGGATGGGCAGAAATAGCACTGGCCAGGAAATAGTTTCTCTACCAGGGAGGAAGTGGAGGGGGCTGGAGGTGTTGGGGGTAACCCTGGGCCACTGGGACCCTCTGCCTTCACTCAGAGGCCTCCCGAGCCCATGACTCCCCTCTCCTGGGGGAGTGTGAAATCATTGGAGAGCCAGGTCACCCCTATAGTTGTCCCCACCCCCAAAAGGCCCATCTCTGGTCTTCATACCCTCTTCCCACCTCCATGCCCCCACCGTGCCCCCCAGTCCACTGGCTCTCTCCATCCGTCTCCCCCTTACCTGGCTCCGACTGTCCTCCCTTGGCCGCCTCACTTCCTCTGATGCCTTTTTTTTACCCTGATGCCCTTTTTCTATCCTATATGCCCTCAACTCCCCTCACTCCTCCCCACAGCCTCACCTACCCCCTGATACTCTCTTCCTAGCCCTGACCCCTAACCCCAAGCCCTAAGCCTTTCCTCCTTCCTCATTCCCTTAACCCCACCTCCTCTGACTCCTCCTCTCATCTTACCCCCTTCCGAACCAGACCCCCTTTCATCTTTTGACCTCCTTCTTACATCCAGACGCCTTCGCCCATCGTCAACCCCCCTCTTCCCTTCCCTGGCCGCCTCCTGTCCCCTCCCCCTTGTGCTGGCTCTCCCCCTTGCTCCCACC